GTGTGTGTGTGTGTGTGTGTGTGTGTTTGTGTGTGTGTTTGTGTGTGTGTGTGTGGGTGTGCAAGTAACATTTAATGCCTGGGTCACCTAAACTTTATGCCACCATGAAGGAGAAAAAGAACGACCCAACTGACTTGCATTAAGTTGCAAGATGAGTTTGTAGCCAACTCAGGACTTCGTGGTCATCAAATTTATCTAAATAATTTCACAGAGCTCTGTAGTGTAAATTAGACATACTTTTACTTTCATAAACTTTATAACTTCTAGCTGATGTATCTCGCGCTTGCTCATTGCACGGCTTTAATATGTGACAAATCTTTCATTTAACACTCTTACGTTTCAAAGATTTTTTTTTGGTCGTTCTTTGTGAGGAGGAGGTCAGCTTAACGTGTATTCTTCATTATGTGTTTAAAGCAAGACCTATTATTAGGTCTATGGTTTAAAGTAACACTACTGGTATTATGTAGAATATCTATTTATTTATTTTAAAAAAAAGATTATTTATTCATTTATTTATTTATCTAAATCTATCTATTTTTAAAATTATTTTTTATTTATTTCTTTTTATTTGTTTATTTATTTATTTGTTTGTTTATTTGTTTATTTATCTTTTAGAATATAATTTTACACATTCACTCATTCTTTCATTCATTCATTGATTTATTCTTTTTTTCATTTATTGAATTATTCATTGATTTATTCATTTATCTTTTATTTATTTATTTATTCATTCGTTCGTTCGTTCGAATCGTTCGTTCTGTGGTTCGCTCGTTCGTGCGTTGGTTGGTTGGTTGGTTGGTTGGTTGGTTGGTTGGTTCGTTCGTTCGTTCGTTCGTTCGTTCGTTCGTTCGTTCGTTCGTTCGTTCGTTCATTCATTTATTTAGTTATTCATTTATTTATTATTGTATTTATTTTCATTAAACCCAGGTTGTGAATACGGAGACAAGAGTACATGGTGTAGTGAGAAGCTCGTTGCTCCTAGTGGTTGTTACCTGAACGAGGAGCTCTGTTGTGGAACGTGTTCTGGGGCCAAGAGACTGGACAATGCAGGTAAGGACTTTTAAGAATCAATATATATAATGTTTTCAGTTTTGAAAACATGCAACTCATTTATAGGCCCTATAGTTCTCAAGATGAATCCCCTCCCCTGCCCATCGCCACACACAAAACCGCAACAAAAACCAACAAATAAAACAACCAGAAAACAAGATTAGAAAAATATAAACAAAATCCCGATTCGTTCTGGCGTACCAACACAAGCACTCACAAACTAGTGTACTATGAAGAGAAATGATGGTTGGAAACGAAATAATTCTGTATCTTATCGTCTACAATCGTTGATTACGGAGATCTATAAATAATATTTTGTTCCCCCAGTGATATCGTTCCTGATTTCTAAATTTAGCCCGACTAACGTGACGTATATCATTTACATTGAAAAATCTAAGTCATCTGAGGGCTACTGCGAAATGGTGTGCTTAAAGTAAGCAGTCATAGTCATAGGCAGACGGAATTCCTTCTCTGACATTAGAAATATTTATGATCGCGACTTCAAGCCTTTCTGTTTCCACAAGTCACGCTCTCTGACGCAGCAATACGAAAGTGCTCAGACCTTCTCGTAGATATATATTTTTAGTTATAATAACCATAGATTTGCACTACTTGTTAGATAACTCTGTGATAATAACTTATAAGAATCCTCAATCAGACACAAAAATGGGGAGCCTTTAGTATTATCATCATCATCATCATCATCATCATCATCATCATCATCATCATCATCATCATCATCATCATCATCATCATCAT